TAATGGAAATAATCTCTTCCCTTAATGTGTCGTTACCGCCTATATATACGCGCTTGTCTGTTATTGACATTTTTAAGTGTTCTTTGTCTAATACTCTACTCATCACTTCAATTGCTGTCATTCATAGTGTGTTTTTGTTCACAAAAAGAAACGTATACATTCTCGAGTTAAACAATATTTGGTAAGTTTTTTTTTGTGGTAAAAGGTCATCAAAACGTAGAAAAATAAAAAAAAATTGACCGATTGGTAAATTTTGGACAACAGTCTTGAAATAGACTTATGAAAAAAAAATACTTTCAATTACTACTGTTACCTTGGCATTTGATTTGCAGATAATGGGTTTCTATTAGTACATACATTCAGATTGTTTGTAAGAAAGTGTAATTGAAATCAGATCATGTTTATCATACGTTTAAACATTCTGTTGTTTTCTTTTTTCATAGAGCAGTGAGAATAAAGTGAATAAAAGCAACAGACTTTTAGCCACTGATTTTGAGCTATTCAAATCTTACTCGTGGCAATGACAAAGTAACTTTACATCACCGACTACTGCCTCGACGAGCTATGTTTTACGATGTAGGAATAGGTTGGAAGAAAGCTAGGGACGGTCAGACCAAAACATGGCAAAAATCCATGAAGTCAGTGATAAGTGGACTAAGTCATGTTGGTAGGTGTCGACTACCTGGTTGGGGTCCGCGAGATGATAATAATCGATGGCTAGAGACCCTGAATGACATGGCTCAAAAACGTTTGCAATGGCGCAGGTTCATCGATTGTTTGGCTTCTCTCAAATCTTATTCTTCTGAATTTTTCATCACCTCTATCGTTCTCTTTTTAAGCTTATTTCACTAGATTCTACTTCTTGACTAATATCTTCGAACCCTAAAATTTACGATTACTGCTCATACTTCTACTACATCTACCAGTATGGGATTTGAATTGATAATTCTATTCCTCTGTGCTAATTTGTATGGCGACTTGGACTGATGTATGTACGAATGAAGTTCTACGTTGTAGCTGACAGACTGTGCTACTTATAACGAAGCTTATAGGTTGTGTGCAGTGGATGTGCAGCGAACGAAATGAATAATGTTATATCCGAACGCATGGTGCAGTCAGAAATTTTTGAAGCGTAGGAGATATGTTGGAGAAAGCAGCCAAGAAAATGCTTGTTTTGCATATGGATGTTTTTATAATAGGGTGTACATATTTTAGCCTGTAATATGTGTATTAAAATAAATCGCTTATTCTATCTGCGCTTTCATTACGCTGAGAAACAAAGAAAAATATGAGAAGAATGAACAAAAATTGAACAGAACTGAAAAAGGAAGCCCAGGATAGAGTAGGTTGGAGAATACTGACTGTTTAGCTACCTATGCTCCTTTATTGGGGGTAACAGAGATGTAAGTAAGTAAATAAGTATCTGGGCTTCGGTCTTTGTTCATTACAGTAGTAATACTGGTAGTTAAAAATTAGGTATAAGCAATAAAACAGACTAACTTCTTGAAATAAAAAACGGTATAAAATAATTTCAATCTCGAACTCCAACGGAAAAATATGTATCTGCATCATGTGATCAATTCTAATCCATGTTATCTAACATCTTCAACACATTCAATGGTTTTCGGTCATATTGTTCAAATGATGAGGACTTAAAGTATACCACTCTACTGTCATGACCAAGATAGTTGTTGTTGTTGACTTCAAACCTATGATTCAGTGATCAGAAGCTCAATTGGCTTAACCAAACTCTCCGTCAACCCCTGTTATTGTTGTTATTCTGGTACATATTATCATTTTCAGTGTCACTTTTTATCGTTCTTCATTTCACATTTGTTATTCTGTTTATCTTAATAATTTTCAATTGTAAACAGTTTGAAAATCGTGCTGTCTTTCTCTCTCTCTCTCCCTCTCTCTTTGTGAATGATTGACCGGCTAACGAGTTTGTTTATTGTATTAGAGCAGCATAGTGTAATATTATCATCAACTCTGTGAGAATACATTTCGTTACAATACCTAATTCACCTGTAGAGTAGTACTACTAGTAGTAGTAGTAATTAATCTGTACATGATTATCTCATTATTTCAAATCTTGTCCTGTTTATATGTGTGTGTGGAATTTTTAGAAATTAATTTTTTTTTAAAAAAAAAAATAAATTTTTTTGGAAACAATTTTCTCGATTTTGTATGATTATGATGATTATCAATCATTAACTGATAGAGAGAATTGTGCAAATGAATTAAAATAGAATGAAATATTTTGACCTAATTCACTGATCAACTTGTACATTCACACACACAAACGCACACGTACACTTGATTTGTCGTTGTTGTTGTTGTTTTAAACAAGTGCTTTCTCTCTCTCTCTCTCCCTATCTCTTTTTTTTTTGCTGTTCATTTGTATGTAACATTGTGCGAATAATAATAATAAAAAACATATCTTGCACAAAATAAACGATACTCTTACTGGTGTCTCTGGTTTCTTCTTCTTCTCTCTCTTTCTCCGTCACACACACACACACACAGTTTCTACGTAAAAAGCAGCTGCATGAATTACTACTACTACTACTACTACTACTACTACTACTACTACTAGCTAGTCTATAATAAAGTGATTAGGTTAAAAAGAGAGAATAATAAAATTTCTCTTCTAGTTATGATGATGATGTGTGTTTATCGCTTTCAGTGTATTTGTATCACGTACAAACTAAGTTTTTTTTTCTCCCTAGAACCCTGTGTAGATAGGTGGTGATATTCAATTTAATGAGGGAGGTAGGTAGATAGGTTTGGTTAGCAGCATTGTTACTACTATTCGTACTACTACTACTACTACTCGCCTCTCTCCCTTCCTTCTTATGTGTGCACACGTATTATACCTATAAACGAATAGCGATTGATAATTTGACTTGGTGAATGAATGCACACAAACCAAAAGAGAATATATATAAAAATTTTTTTAATGATTTGCACATCTGTGCTTTCTGGAAATTTTCTTTTTACAAAATAAAAAATTTTACTATCTTTTACCAACCAATTCCTCTCAGCCTTTGTACGTGTGTGTGTGTGTGTACATTGTTCAAAATAAATGTGTACTTATGCGTACACGCAAGCATGCTTGTATGTCCTAGTGTATGTGTGTGTGTGTATGTGTGAGTGCGAGTGCGCGTATGCATTGTTCTAATGATGATGATGATGATGACTTTGTGAAGAATTTTTGTCTCTTCAAATGCCTTGCTTTTTCCTTTTTTTTGTTCTTTTTTCCTACTTCACAAAAAAGAAATCACAATAATCAACAGCAAAAACAATCTTGAGCTATTTTTATTGAATGAATTGCCTGTGCTGCTTTTTGTTGGTTCTTGTTTTTGGTTGTTGTTGCTTCCTAGGACTGATAATTTATGTGGATCGTTTCATGTATATATATGTATATCTGTGTGTGTGTGTGTGTTTGTTTTACGCCTTTGTTTTCAAATTTTATCAGCTAAATAATATTGAGATAATTTGTTGAATTTGATTTTTCTTCTTCTTACTTAAAATGTGTATCTATATTCATTATCGTCATCAATATCGCCGTCAGCACATCATATTCATAATAGTAACAATAATTATTGTTATTATTATTACTATTATTATTATATTATCATCATTTCTAATTTATTTCAACTCTTCCTCTCCCACTCACTCACTCTTTCTCTGTACGACAGGCAAATTATGTCTGGTTTATAGGTCAACTTGTGTCTTGAAATAATCAACTATGATAAATATAGATATATATATATAAGTCATCAACGAGTGATTTTTTCTCATTTTGTTTCTGATTTTATTCTCGTCTACTGCTACTACTAATTGACGACAACATCAGTCAGGGATAATCACACCAATTCGTTTGTTCGTTCGTTCATTCGTTCGTCCGTCTGTGTACAACCCTTTTTTTCGCGTCAGTGTTTTGTCTCGTTCTGTTTTCCTCTCTCCACTTTTTTTATGGATAAGAAATAATAATAATAATAATCATGATTATTTAAAAGGAGATTTTGATAAATTACCGAAGAAAATATCCCCCCGGATAGATTTACTATTCACAATAATTCTTCAATGTGATATATATATATATATATATATATATATATATATATATATATATATATATATATAATGGTCATTTATCTCAATTGTGCTGTTAATTACTTTCATTGACATAAATTTGAATTACCTTTATGTTTGAACAAGTAATCTGTTGAATATTTAAATAAATAGGCTTTCATAGACATTTTTTCTTCATTATTTCCATTACTACTTATGTGATTATTTTAATTATTATGGTTTGTGTGTTTATTTCGACGTCGCCGTTTCTCAATTGAATATTTTAATTTATATATAGGTATACGTGAGAAAACTCTTCCATACATGGCTCAAAATTGTTTGCAATGATACAGGTGCCTCTAGTCTCAATGTTCTCTGAAATTCTAATCTGATGAATTCCTCATCACCTCTATGTTTCTTTGTCTAACTTATCTCAATGAATCATAATTCTTGAATAATATCTACGAATCCTAATCTTCTCCATCATCGCTAATACTTCTACTACTATGGGATTTGACATTGACAACTTCGTCTCTGTGCTAATGTGGTATGCAAACCTGAACTTATGTACTGATGTTTCAAGTTCTACGTTATGACTGACTGACTGACTGACTTCCATACATAATATTTCATACCTACTGAACACATGAAGTCAAGTGAAATTTCGAAAATAATTTTTTTACTCTGACTACTATATTTCGTCTAAACTTGTTGCCCCTTAGTTTTTGTTGAGTTGTTTATTCAAATTTTTAAATGTGGTATGACAACTTGAACTGATGTAAGTACAACATACGACGTTTTATGTTGTTGTTATTTTTGTTGAATGACTACTGACTTTAAAAAAATATATATTTTCATCTATACAACTTTACTAATACGGTTACCTGTTTTTTTTTCTTGTTGACAAAAATTTCATAATTCAGCTGTATGATTCTATGCTTGGTGGTGGTATCAAAGATTTGAACAATTCTTCTATCAATGATAATGATATTTGTTCTCGATTAACATCAACTCATACAACTTTAACATCATCAAATTTATTAACTGGTGGAAATTTCAATTGTCCACCGATAAGCACACCTTTATCATCAATATCAACATCGTCATCATCATCATTATTGTCATCGTCAAGAAATCGATCAAACATGGAATCAATCATTCGAACGGATCATCCGCATCAACATCCTCTACACGACAATCATGATCCATGCGTTTACACTAATTTAAATGTTGTACCAGTCGGTGGAAGCAACACCACAGCATCATCATCATCATCATGTATGTCAGCAGCTTTATGCAGTGGTGGTGGTGCAGGTGTTGGAGCTGGGAATGATGATGATATTATTATTGATTCACATTGTATAATTGGCAAACCAGGTCTTATGGATGAGACCAACAGTAAACGTGAATTAAAATCAATGCATTTTCATCAATCAACTAATAATAATAATAATAATAACAATAATTCATTGATTGTTTCTTCGGGAATGTTTGATTCTTATTATGGAATTGGTAGGTGGCTAGTTAGTTCTATATATACATTTTTTTTATAAAAAAAAATAAATTAAATTTTAAGTAATTATTTGTGTGTTCATTATAAATTTCAATATGGCGTTTATTTAAAATGGAAAAAAATGTCTATTGTAAATCTGTTTGTTTGTGTTTAGTTTGACATTTTATTACAAATGTATCATTCAGATGTAAAGGTAGGTGTCTATTCTGAATGATTATGATTGTTTCATTGTGATTCAAGAAAAAGAATTTTACATGTGTAAGTTTTTGAGCCAAGTATAATTCCTCCCCTAGAAGACCGAACTGTTAGCCTGGCTATGTTTGTTAATTTCATGAAATCGATTAAAGTTTGACTGGAACACCGATCGTGCGTCAGACGAACGGTATTCGATTTGATTCTTAGATGCAGGATCGTGGTTGCACAGTGAGAGGACAAAACGATCATTCAGTGATTTCAGGTTTTCAATGTACGTTTTTTGAAGTATTATCCTTGCTATGCACATTGATAACCTTGGTTTCAGTCAGTTACAACGTGGAACTTCGTACTTATGTCCATCAGTTTGAGTTGTCATATCATACTTACACAGAGAGATGGAATCGTCAGTTCAAATCTCACAGTAGTAAAGGTAGTTAGAAATTTTTACGGGTAATCAAAAAGATAAGTGTTCGAAGATTTTATTCAAGAAGTATAATACAGTGATATAAATTTAAAATGAGAAGAAACAATCATGGGGAATTCTGAAAATTAAAATTTGAGGGAAGACAAAGAATGAATGCATATGTGCCATCGCAAACAACTTTGAGTCATGTCATCCAAAGTCTCTAATCAAGTAGTCTCAACACTTACACTAACATAGCTTAGTCCAGTTGTCAATGACTTCATGATTTTCTTTGGTCGCTCTTTGTTATCTTCCAAGCTACCCTTACATCAGACAACATCGGTCGTCGAGACAGTTCTAGGTTAGGTTGTATACGTAACACAACTACGGTCATATGGTTTCACTACCACTTGCATCTTACTTAATTGGACGACACTTATTTACTTATATGTTTACTGTTGAAATCTACTGAATCTTGATTGAATAATCAAATTATTTGGACAATTTAATATTATTTACTAAAAATAATAATCAATTTCATATTTATTGTCGTACATATATTCGTAGAGAAGTACACTAGTTGTAATTTTAATAAATTTTTATTATTATAATATGATGACCATTGGATTCCAAATTCATTGGTTTTAAGAATAAGCGCTTATTGCCAAAAAAATAAAGGTTCTAAGTTAGACCATTGACGCGGTGTCACTGCGTATTCACGCATTGTTGAAAATTTGCATAGGATGTTGCTACCCAGTGTTTTTTTTGGTTTTCCATTATTGTCTAACTGCAGTAGTCAGTTCGTAATGTCTTTTACAAAATAATCTAGAATCTCTTCATCATTCTTCTTTTTGTACAATTCAATGATATAATTTTTTTCTATTACAAACTTCAAATCTATTTATTCAGATTTCTAGAATTATATGTATTGTGGTGTTTATCAAATCTAGTCTTCATCATCAATACTGTGAATTTGTTTTAAATTTTCTGCTTGTCACTTGTAATTTTAATGATTGATAATAGTTGTGTCACATTATATGATCAAAGGTTGAATGATGATGGCTCAAACTCATTTGCAATGGCGCAGGGGCACCCACTGTTTGTGTTCTCTCAAATTCTAATCTTCTGTATTCGTCAACACCTCTACCTTTGTCTTTCTAAACTTATTTCACCGAATTATACTTCTTGAATAATATCTTGGGTCTGTGATCTTTCTGACTACTGTTAGTACTTTTACTATCTCTACTATTATGAGATTTGAACTAAACATTGTATCTCTGTGCTAATATGTGATATGGCAACTTGAACTGATGTATGTACGTACAAAGTTCTACGTTGCATCTGACTGACTGATTGATCTGAGAGTGAGCAATGACTTAAAATCAATCACGAAGAAGCAAATACATATTCATTCTTTATCTTATTCTAAATCTTATATTCAAGCATTGCTTTCATGGAAAACCTCTTTATGTCATCATTGTCAACTATACTATTAATGGTTAGATGGTTTTTTTCTAACTACTGTTGCTTGACTCCGTTATTATTGCTCACCCTTAGTGTGGCCGACATCTTAAGGATACGCTCATATTTGTACTAGTCAGTAACAACCAATCACGATAGAGTTTAACAGAACAAGCTAATTGGTGAAATTCGAATACTCCACTTCCATCTGAAGTTTATGCTGATGATGGATGATGTTGTTCAGGAGAAGAACAATAAAAGCTTCTACAGGCAAAACATCCAGCTGACAGAACGAAACACCACCATACACGTCTCTACATTGATATAATCGACTTATCTGTTCATACAGATGATTAATCAGTTGTTTCTAATTATAAACTAATTTTTTGTCTAAAGTTAATTTAAATAAATTAGATTATTTTTATTTTTTAAAAATAACAAGAATAACTTTATACAGTTTTGTAAATATTTTTAGAAAAAAAAACAGTATTTATTATTATGCGGAAAAGTTTTATTATAATTGCTTTTACAGCTTTAGGTGATATATACATATTTATATATATACATAGGGGGAAAGGAGATTCTGTTATTTTCAGTTTGTTTTTCAATCAAACAGTTCTTGACTTAGTAATACCGAAGAAAAAAACAATCCTTCTCATTTATACTGTATCTGTTCGCATTATCCATAGGAGAAATTGAATAAACTATGTATTATTATTGTTATTATTATTATTATTATTACTACTACTAGTAGTAGTAGTAGTACTAGTAATACTATTGTGTATATTTTGTATTCTTGCCCTAATCTTTTTCTTTATTTTACATTTTATAAATTCTCTGTATATCCGATTGATAGCTAATTACGTCTGAATGTGCGTGTGTGTGCTTGTGTGTGCGTGTACGTATATTTTTCCCCTGCTAACCTTGCTTTATTTTTTTTTTAAATGCTTGTCCCCGTCCCCGTCCCCCACCATCTCTCTGCCTCTTAGACTTTCTTTTTTTGCCCTAACTTTTTAGAGAATAGTTTTTCTGTAGGCAAAACACATCTGTGCTCCAATGTGTGTTGTTGCATGTGTTTTTTATTTATTACTATTATTATTATTATTGTTATTATTACTATGATGATGATATGTTGTTATAAATAGGGTTAGTTTACTTTAGTGATTTTGTTATGTCCCCAGAGGTCGGAAACGTGATTTTTTTCGTTGCTGTTGTTGTTGTTGTTGTTGTTGCGGTGTTGCTTAACACATATTTGCTCTTTGTTGCTGTTGTCTAACAAACACCATACAAGGATTAGTTGAGCCAGAAAAAGACAGCTTCACTATGTATGTAGGTATGTATGCAAAGCCCCCCAGGGCAATAATGTTCTATATTTTCTTAGCCACCAACCCCCCCCCCGTCGTTTTATGCCTTGATTTACTGATTAAAATAATGAGTAATTGAAAACTGATTTGCTTGTTTTACTGTTTGACCTAGCTTTTGTTTTATTAAACAAAAATAGAGTTTTTTTTTCTGCTTATTCAAAAAATTATTGTAATGTTGCTCTTGTATTTTTTTTTATTGCAAATGTGTTGATGCAAGTAGTACTTTTGTAGAAAGTAGAGAGTAATTCTATTAATACTACTACTACAACTACTACTAGAGTAGTAGCATTCGTAGTCCTAGAGTTTACTGAGCACAATGTGTGTTTTTTTTTGTTTGTTTGTTTGCAGTCGGTGCATACATAATCTTGCTTCATTTGATGTGATGGATGGCTAATGCTGATTTTCATTGAATAACTTTAACTTGCTTACACAACCTAACATTTTTTTTTGTCATTTCTCTTATTTATTTGTATGTTGATTCATTTAGATTCCGTATGTGATGGAAACACAATGCCAACTGGTTGGTCAACTCCGACTAATGTCATTAATCCAGGTTGTGTAATGATGGCGACAGGTTCTGTGCATACATCGAATTTCGCTTCACATATTTCCAATGATAATAATAACAATACTACTACTACTAATAATAATAGTAGTGCTTGTCAATTGACATCCGAATTAACTTCTCTTCCTGCCTATCCAAATTCTAATCCTTCCCTTCATTCAGAATCTACTCATCCGACGCATGTAAATATGGTAAATTGATTTTGTTTTTTCTTTGAGGTGGTATTTTTTTTGAACAAGAAAATGGAGGTTTATTTTTGTTGTATTGATTATTTTCTACGAATGTGTAAAATTCTAAATTTCTTGTTACGTAATGTTTCTGTCACTTAATTTATGTGATTGGTTTACAGATTATGGTTTTTTTTTAAAGGAACAAGATAACTGGTATCAATCCAAATGTTGTTGTCAATGAATAAAAGTTTATTGTTTAAACTATACTAGTCAGCTAATTCAGTCAGGCAGTTATAATGTAGAACTTCGTACGTACGTGCGTAAGTTCAGGTTGCCATACCACATTAGCATAGAGACGCAATTATCACTTCGAATCACATAGTGGTAGTGATAGTAGAAGTATTAGCGGTAATGAAGGAGATTAGTGTTCGATGAAATTATTCAAGAAGTAGAATCTGGTGAAATAAACTTGAAAAGAAAAAGATAAATTGATGTGGGATTCAGAAGATTAGAATTTGAGAGAACACAATAAATGAATGCACCTGCGTCATTGCAAACGATTTTGAGCCATGTCGTTCAAGTTTTTTAACCATCGATTACTATCATCTCGCGGACCCCAACCAGGTAGTCTACATCTACCAACATAACTCAGTCCACTTGTCAGTGACTTCATGGATTTCTGCCATGTTTTGGTTTGGCCGCCCCTAGATTTCTTCCAACCTACTCCTACACCACAAAACATCGAGGCAGTCGGTGGTTGTGCCTACGTAACACATGTCCCAACCACCTCAAATAATGAAGTTTCACTAATTGATCTCCATTGATCTGTGATCTTTACCTAGTACCCGTTTCTTAATAACAGTATTGTTAACTCGATAGTCCTGAGATAAACGAGGGATGCTTAGAAGACATTTATAATTGAATACTAATAACCTACCAGTATCCTCAACTCGTACCGGCCATGTTTCGCATCCGTATAGTAGGACGGAGTGAATTGCTGCGCAGTAGTCTCGTCCTTTGGTTTGCTAAGAAGTGTTTCCAATCTTAAATGTTTGATGAATATAAAATATTATTGTTCAACATTTAGATTTTTTGTTGAATATTCTGCTACATAAATCAGAGAATAATATTGTTTATTCAATTTCTAACGGATGAAAATTGTTTGATAAATTTTCATGTTAACAATGGAAATTTATCCTGTGACATTTCGTTAAATTGACTCATCGCCTCCTGACTTGGTGGGCAACTTTCCTATTCGTTTTCAAATAGATAATAGCTGCCTGGTCTGCTTTAACAATTTTTCCATTTTAATGCAACTGCAAATATAGAAAAATCTGTACCATAGAAAGGATATATTCAATGATAGAACAGTCAGTTTCCTTGAGATATGTCTCAATTTCAAACCTTCATTAAGCTTTGATTTACTGAGTAAAGCTACTTAACTGTTGGTTTCGAACTCAAAAGCACTAAATTTGGTTCTTGAAGGTGAATGGATATCACTAACCTTCAACGTGTGTTATGTTATGATGATTTGTGACTGATAAAATGAGTGCATTGTACGTCAATCAACATATTAACTGAATGATACTATGTGAACAAGCGATAGCTGTTTACGAGACGTAAATATTTTGACACAATCCCATGAATACGCACCAATGTCAAACGTAAAACCACTAATCAGAAGAATAGTTTTTGTTCGTTTTTTTTTTACCTTAGTACAATAACCTTGCTCAATACAAAGGTTATATAGGTCATGCATGTTACAAACAATTAGACGACATGTTAAGCCATTCTCTTGTCAATAATGTAATTGTTAGGCCTAATTCTTACTCCTATTATATTATTATTATTGAAAACGTCAACCTGTGGCTTGACTCCCTTTACCTCACCGCCCAATTGATTATTTTTTAAACCTAAGGCTTAATTCAACTAGTCAGAAAACTTTGTTGATATATATATATAATGTCATTTAATTTTGTTACAGGGAATGAATTATTCTGGGGCCGGTGTTAGTGGTAATCTCTATGCACCGCCGACATTACAACCGTGTTCATTGGTTGGATTATCTGATTCTTCTCTTCAACACCCATGCAATATACCTCCACCTAGTAAGTTAACTGTTAACGCAAAACACACGGTTCGTGTGTGTGTGCGTGTGTGCATACATTAAAGAAACCTTGTTTTTGTTATTACTTGTTTAACAGTATAATGAGTGTAAAGTTTTTATTATAGGTAGGTAGGTAGGCTATAGCGACGAAGTGATATAACGTGTTAAATTTTGTTTAAATATTTATTAGTCCTTTTTTAGCCAACGAATAAACAATCCGTAGAAGTGAAATTTTATCAGGTGGTGGTTGAAGATAGACGTCAGGAAACTCCTGGACCTAGCGGTCGTGTCATTTAGTGTTCGTCAGCAAGTTGTATACCCGCAATCTTAACGGGACTGATACTACTTTGCAGATTAGACCCTGTATCACTCAGCTTCACAGTCAGATACATTACCACTGAGCTATTTGGATCGCGATTTACATCCTTTAAAAATCAAATTTATTTACAATTGATCTATCACTGGGCAGTGACAAATGTCAGGTCCTTCTTAATACTGATCAAACGCTATCGACCTAGTTGGTGTGTGTCCATAAATCTAACTAAATTTACATTGCGTGCACTGTGATACATCTTAACATTGTGCCTACGATATAGATCACCTGGATTTGTTGGTCCGCGATTTGGTAGATTCTTTGCAGAAGTTTTTAACCAGCCTCCATCATATTTTTATTTCGAGCAGACGTAGTTAACATACAAACATACCAGGCGACATTATATCATGTATTGAAGAAATACAACTATATACTAGCAAGCTAACAATGACTGTGAATATAGGGGAGACAGACATCATAATAATCTATAAATCAGTCCTGAAAGTTAGCACATCCCCAATCTTCTTCATAGTTATTGCACTATCATTTTTTTAGTTTACCACACAATTCATATGACATTATAAGCTAGTTAGTGGCAGTTCATAGTCATCTATTTTCTTAGGATTCTCCATGTCGGTTATTACGCATCAATGTTAGGACAGTGTCTTGCAAAAGGTGAACTCACATTCTTTTCTGCCACAACTGAAAATATTACTACGGGATTGTTTTTTAGTCTGCCTTCTTGCAAAGTGACTGTTTGTATTTTATTATCATCATTGAATTGATCGATCAAATTGCATCAGTGCATTTTGTGCTAATGTAATGCATATATGAGTAATTCCACAAACTTCGTGTTTTTAGTACACAGTGACAGAATTGTTGATTAAATCGTGTACATGTTATGTTCTGTGTTTTTTTGCACATTATTTTCCGGAATCCATCATAGAAATAGTATTGAACTGTTTCTTTATTTATTATGACTTTTTTGTACGAGAATTTTGTTGTCTTGGAATTCAGATAGAATTTGATGAGTCATTCATTGTTTGTAAGATGCCGATTGTGTTGTACGTAATTCAGATGTAGACTAGTGTCTTACAAACTGAGAAGTGTTATATCTCCACATTCTCTGTTTCACAATTGAGGTTGTATTTTGAACATAATTTTTAATTAAGTACCATTTTAGATACTATAACAAATATAATGTGGAAATTGTTAGCCTCGATAATACTTCGATGCCTAAATAGAGCTCGTTAAGAGCAGACTAGATAAACCAGTCTGGTTTCAGACCTGGACGTGGATAAATAAACCAAATATTCACACTACGTCAAGTCCTAGAACATAGACACACATTCGAACGTCCTACAATAGCTGTCTTCCTGGATCTTAAAGCGGCACTTGACTCTGTGGATCGTGGGGTTCTGCGGTAGTGTCTATCTTTGAAAGGTGAAGCAAAGAAGTACATTACTAACCTTATACAGATCCTCTACTCGAACACTACTGGTTAAGTCAGAGCTTATTACGAACTGTCACTGGAATGAAGTTTTCTCTTTAAAAAAAAACAGTCCAATCTTTCACTATAATCCTTTTGATAGGTATTAATCAATTTTTTCCCAAAGCATAGAGTATTATGTAGACTAATTATTTGTTTTTTCCTTTGTATATCCGTTTCTTAGACTGCAGCACAAAGCAGTAATAGATTCGAACCTTAACATTTTCTTTATATTAGGCCTAAGCAGAAGGATAATATTTCGCACATTGTCACACTGAAAAGTATGTCTCAAAGCAGGGTTGTGTGTTTTGATGTTTCTTCTTAACAGTGGATAGATTTTTAAACTTACTCCTTACAGAGTCTTGTTGACTATCCGGTTAGGTGTCCAGTATTCACTAATGTTTTCAGTTCATTGGCTTGTTCAAACCCGTTAAACAAGTTAGTTAGTGCTTAGGTGTGGACTCAATAACTCAGTAGATATTTAATCCTGTTACCGCCAATGGAGCATAGACCTTTCTTTCCAATTCTGTTCAACTCTTGTTCATTCTTCCCATGTCTGTCTCCATTTCTCAGCGTGATGTGTTCCTTAGCTCTCTTCTTTTCTCGTTGGCTTTGAGGATTTGAAGTGAGCGCTTGTCTTGTGACACACACAGTTAGCTCAGTAGACAACTGTGCTTAGTATTTAAATTGCAAGGTACTCTGTTTTTGAATTTTAATATCATATGTGAACATTGTCAATCATCTAGTTATGGTCTCTCAGTAAGGATCGATCATACATCCTGAAAACTCCACCCACCACTAATCATTCATCGATTCTCCACGTGTATCATAGAATCACTTTTTATTTTTTTCTTTGTTATTATCACCTAATGTATGTTAACTAACTTAGTCTTACATTTATTCACAATAAATGAAATCAATTGGTTTTCGACCTTGTTCATTCATGAATTCATGATATTGATAATGAATAATTTTTTTTCTTTTTTTTTTATAACAAAAAACCCAGATCATCCTTTAGAGCCGCCTAATCCATCATATTCATCTATGGGAGAATTTACACTGCATCATCCATCATCATCTGATCTAACCCCACCATCTGGTCTATTATCTTCAGCTGTCTATGAACAACATTCACTGGCAAATTTGAATACTACACATGTATGTGTTGTTGTTGTGGCTGTTGTTATTAGCATGCATTATGTCATTGTTAACTGGTTCTTGTTTGCACTCGCTTGTATGTGTGTGTATGAATATATTTTGATGTGAATGAATCGTCCCCCCCCATCCCATAGATCTTATTCATCACAAATATGATCTGTGATGAATGTGAATGTTTCATAGGATAGTGTTTTGGATCATACTTATTACCATTATTAATCTTGGTAATAAGATCAACCTTGACAACAACATATATATGCAATAAATGCAAATGATCACAGCATAAATTCGTATGACACTTTATTTTTTGCTGATTCATTAATATGTGCTGTTTTTTTTGTCCTCCCCCCCACCCCATCCATCTCCATTAAGTTCGTTATATTTGGTATGCATTTCTTTTTGTGTGTACAGCTTTGAATTGTATAATTTATCGGTTTTTTTTGTGATCGTAAAACTGTGGAGAGTTTTTTTATCCAGACAAATAATTTTTAAAGTACATTAGTGTTAAACTAGAGAAGAGTTATGAAGAGATTGCTTAATGTATAAATTTTGCCCTACAGAGTAATTTCAACTAAACTCAGTTCTTTCAGATAAGGAAGGATTTTTTCACGAATGAATATCCACAATCCAACCATCAATTGAATGTACTGCTATTCGTTTTATGCATCAGCCGTTGAGTTCAGGTCCAATGTGTTTCAATTAGTTCATGTAATGAGCGGCCATCGTATATCGGTGCTAGGTAAGAATGGCAGGTCAATAGATGGAGTAATGAAACTTCATCAGTTGAGGTGGTTGGGACATGTGTTGCGTATGCCTAACCACTGACTGCCTCGACGAGTTTTGTTTTGTAGTGTAGGAATAGGTTGGAAGAAAGTTAGGGGCGGCCTAACCAAAATATGGCAGAAATCTATGAAGTCATTGACAAGTGCACTTAGCCATGTCAGTATTTGTCGACTACCTGGTTGGGGTCCGCGAGATGATAATAATCGATGGTTAGATACCCTGAATGACATGGCTCAAAACTGTTTGCAATGGCGCCGGTGCATTTATTCTTTGTGTTCTCTCAAATCCTAATCTTCTGGATTACTCAACACCTCTAGTTTTGACTTTCTAAACTTATCTCACTAAATCATACCTCTTGAATAATATCTTCTAATCCTAACCTCTCCGATTACTTCTAATACCTTTACTACCTCTTCTACTATTGAGTTCAAATCGACAATTATATCTCTGTGCTGATGTGGTATGGCAACATGAACTGATGTACTTATGTACAAAGTTCTATGTTGCATCTGATTGACTGACTGACTTTATCTCACAAACTTTAATATCACTGACACATGTGTAGCGTATGATTTTAATTAATGCCGAATTCGAGAAGACACGAGTGAAATATTCTTTTGTTTCGTCAACTTCAGAAAACATATTCTCAATAGACTTTATCCCTGTTTAGAATAAATATTCTTATGATTAATAGTATTAACGTTAGGGCAAAAGCTTGAACCATTCATTTGATACATTGCTTTCTTTACTGTTTGCTTTGTATTTGCTTGTTTCTACTTGTTAAATTCCTGACTTCATTCACTCTGATTTAATTTCTTTCATTCCAGACTGCATCTTCAAATAACAATAATAATAATAGTAATAATAAAACTAATAATTATCAAAGTGATATGATGAGTTGTAGTCGTGAAGCATTGATTTCATTAACTGGTATGTCTCATTTTTGATATAGTTTCAATGATTTGCATTTACTCTATTGTCTAATTCCTCATTTTTGTTTTATATATTTTCTATGGGATGTTTTATTCCAACCGTTAGATTGATCACAGTTAGACATTAACACCGTTTCATGCCGGCTCAGTTGTATGGAGGGTAAGCGTTGGCGTGAAAGACCGAAGGTCCTGAGTTCGACTTCTGTTACGCGCAGGAGTCGTGAATGCGCACTGCTGATGAGTCCGGTGCCAGGACGAAACAGTCCTCCAATGCTTCCAGGTTTCTAATGGTAATCTAACAATGATTCATTCAAGATTTTAATATTCCACTTTAGTTCATTATCAATTAAGAGAGACAATGCATTGTTTAATCGAAGCTACGTAGTCAAATTTCTTTGACTTGTGATGGATGTGGGCTTGCCAGTTCTCTGGTGATTGGTATTCTCTGTAATTCCTAAACTTCGTATACTGCTGGTCCTGATAATCATTACTAGATAACGCCTAAAAGTGTATAAATCCGAAGACGAATACGAAGCTTTGAAGACGTTTATTATCGCATCACAGTCTACTTACAGTCTTGTTTCTTTATTAAATTATGCTAATCCGTATTGCATCTTGAAATAGTGATAGTTTTATAGCTCTACAAAGTTGATTTCAGGGCATATATCAAACAGAGATAAGATATGAGAATCTCTTCTTTTTTTTCGTCATAGGATCTGGAGCAGATGAAATGAACTTCACAACTCGTTCATCTAATATCAGCTTAACACATTCCTCTACACCTGCATTATCTGTTAACACGTCTACACCTCATGGTGGTGGTCGTGGAACAAGAGGTGGTCGTGTTGCTGGACATAAACGTCGATCATCATCTGTTAATCCTTCTAATTCTCTTAATTTAGAATCAAATGTAAATTCAATCGATGCACAGAATAGTGGTGATATGACTTTGGGCTTATCGAATGCTTGTCCATTATCTTCTAACACTGGTATGAGCTCAGAATGTTCATCTCTTTTTGGTGATTTTGATAGTAGTAGTAGAAATTATGGACATGGTCGTACACCAAGTGTTTGTGGTACGGACTCTGAAGAAACTATCGATCCAGATGAAACACCTGAGCAAAGAGCTGAAAGAGAACGTAGTCGTAGACAGGCTAATAATGCACGAGAGCGGTAAGTATGCTATTTATATTATTCTTTTGGTTTTCTTCATTTACATCGATGAAAAATTTGTCTATATGCAGTCACATAACACATGATGGTAGAACGTAAAGACAATTGTGCATTGTACTAAGTTGCTGTACTTTATATCGACATATTAAATGAGAACGAAATTCAGAATAACGGTATCAATTATCCTAAAAAAAGACTGGAATTTGAGAGCAAAATTACAAAAAATTGAATACTATGACAGTTTCAGAATTCTGATATTTAGCGGAAAATAACAAATGGATCTGTAGCTGTGGAGACTATGATAAGTTTGTAAATATCAGTCAGGATTAGCAGTTATTAACTTCGTGTACTGACTGCTCCTACCAGTCCAAAAAATGGCAGAAACCCATGAAGTCACTGAAAAGTGGACTGAGTCATGTTGGTAGGTGTAGACTACTTGGTTGGGGTCCGCGAGACGAAAGTCACCAATGGTTAGAGACATTAAACGACATAGCTAAAAATCGTTTGCAATGACTCAGGTGCATTTATTCATTGTGTTCTCTCAAATTCTAATCTGAATTCCTCATCATCTTCTTTCTCTTCCTAAATCTATCTTACTGAATTGTACTTCTCGAATCATATCTTCGAAGCGTTATCTCTCCTATTACTGCTAATACTTTCACTACGTCTACTACTATGGGATTTAAACTGACATTTGCGTCTTTGTGCAGATGCGTTATGACATTCTGAACTTATGTACACATGTATGAAGTTCCACGTTGTGTAACTGACTGACTGACTACCCCTAGCTTTCTACCTACCTTCTTCCATGTAGGTTGAGAAAAAGAAAGTAGTGTCTACGACTATACAGTACGCGAGTTAACTACCTCATCCAATGGAAATCTTCAATCTCACTAACTAGTTTATCATTTCTAATTAGTACTGTGCCCCTAAACTCGTAACTAATCCCTTAATGTCAATCTAGCTTAGAAAACATCCATGATTCAGTAATGAAAATGTAAACATGTTTCAACTTGAATGATCATACTTCCCAACTATAAAGTAGTGTATAGAGCGAATTGTTGCAAAAAGACATCTAACTCATTCATCAGCTCATATAATGGTAGTGAAACATCAGTATACGCCATGTATATTGATTCTTCTGAATATTTTTTTTCTTGGGAATTAATAAGTATTCCTATTCAATAACTATAAGCAGTTGTTGTAATATGTACTTTGATTTTGTGCGTTATGATGAATGATAAAGTTATTGTTTTTTCCCCAAAAATTTATGATTTCAATGTTAGAATTGTATACACAGCGGTACACTTTCAGGGAAGTATTACGAAAGGAACTTTGATAATGTTTTACATATCCCTTGTTTTAAATTAATTCCGCACAATTGTTAGTGTTTCTTACTGAAACTATGTTTAAAGTTGAATCAACAGGAAACCCATGGACCTAGATTTCCTATCACTTGATTGATACTCATTAGCAAAGATGTACCTGTAATATTGAGGGAACTAATTCTGTGCTTGTCGACCTTTCGACCTTTTATCATTCAACTTCACAGTTAGAGAAGTTACCATTCAACTATTCAAGCAGCAACTGACCTTCTATGTGACTGAGTTACAGTAGACTGATCACCGATGTCAGGTTAGATATACCAGATCAAATCTGGTAAGACACATCATTCCCTTCAAGATTACAACAAGTACACCTTGTTGTGACGAGTACGAAAGTAGCATGAAACTCTGTGTTTAACGACTCACAATAAAGACAAAAAACTTCACTTACTATGTTGTTGTTGTTCTATTAGCCAGTATACACTATCAAATCATTTCGTTAATTAGATTATACTCTTTTACATACTCAACATGCAATGTTAAACTAATCCATTTATATCCATCATTTATACAACAATATAACACCAACAACACCAAAATAAAAGATTACGTGTTCGTGAAATCAATGATGCTTTTAAAGAATTGGGTCAAATGATTAATTTACACACAGGAAATGGTCAACCTTTGACAAAACTAATGATTCTTCAACAAGCTGTCACAGTTATCACGGGTTTGGAACAACAAGTTAGAGGTTAGATAGTGAGAACAAAACCAAACCACTACTGTTTCATATATGCTTGTTTTTTTATCTTGTGTTTTATTGATTTTTCATAGTTTGCTTGATGTTAGCATGTTATAATCCTTACTGATATTATTGATATTATCATTATGCATGTTTATATCTTTCCTTTTCTTTTATTATCTTAATCTCGCCTGGATCGTGATATACCTATATATATATATGCATATATACATATATCTATCTGTTACATCATACTATCCATTACGTAATAATAATAATAATCGTTCATAATCATCAATCTGGTTAATCTCGCGTTCCTATGTGCATATGTGTGTCTTACACTTTCCTAATGATGGTGTATGCTTATTTTGCCTGCCCGCCCGCCCCCCTTATCCTTGTCAACACCAAAGTATTCGAGTTCGTGATATCAATGATGCATTCAAAGAGCTTGGACGCATGTGCATGATGCATTTGCATAATGAACGACCTCAAACCAAACTTACCATATTACAACAAGCTGTTTCATTGATTACCAGTTTGGAACAACAAGTTCGTGGTAAGTTAGTTAGTTAGTTATACTATGCTGTGCAGTATAGTGTGATATTTTTCAATAGTAGTGTTACATTTTTCTGCTTTATTATCATTTTTTTTAGAAATTTTTTATGTAAACCTTACTTACAGATTGATTTTCTGGTTAGCGCTACTTTTTTGAGAGTTAGTTTTCTACCGAATGGGATCGCCCACACCCAATCTTCCTCCTTTATCCAGACTTGGCAGCGACAGTAGCTCTAGAGGGGACTCCAGATGGAGTTATGTAAATTGAAATAGATCAAATTTTCCATGTTGATAATGAAAGGTTGATTGTGTGTAAATTATAATTCAAAACACCACGTGTACAGTACAACAACACAACAGTTTTGTTTCGATTTCAGATATAGTGTTGCTGATTCATGTGAACATTTTAATTTTTATGCTTTGTTCATGTTCTTAGTTAGCTCAGTTTATATTTTTTTTAAATGTTTTATTTTATTTAATTTAAACACATCAACATTGGTACAAGGGAGCACCTAAAAATATACATAAATACACTCCACACAAATTATTGAATTTGCGAGTGGGTTGGGATGTAGCCCGGACACCTGAATCGGGGCAGGTGGTTTCGTTAGGGAACTAGTCACCGAGCTTTCGGCCCTAAAGTCTAATCCATAAGGCAGTGGGGTATAGGCTTCGGACTAGGATTCTCCAACCTACTCTATCCTGTACCTTTCTTTCCAATTCTGTTCAACTTTTGTTCATTCTTCCCATGTCGGTCTTCATTTCTCAGAGTAATGTGTTCCTTGGTCTCCCTCTTTTCCTTTATCGTTGAGGGAACTAAGTAAGGGCTTGTTTTTTTGACGTAGTTGAGTGAATTCCTTAGTGTGTATCCTATCCACCTCCTGCTCTTTTTCATTATTTTTTCCTTAGATGAAGGAACCTGGTTTGTTCTCTCCCACAGTAGCTTGTTGGTACATACGTAAGGTCATGGATGCGAATTTCTAAGGAGTCCTATACTTAGACGCAATTATCATCAGCCAGTGCTTCCAGCTTTTCAACAATGGTCTAACATTGATTAGATTAGTTTATGATATCAATGAAAACTCAACGATCTCCATGAGCATAAACTGATAACGAAACTAATGAACATTGAGAATTATGCAATGGGAAATTGATGATTTACGCTTTTGTTATTTGTTAATAATCCTATCACTACGACTAGTACATCTATTTTCTTACTATTGATGATTAGTTTAGGTTAGGCAGTCTGTTTCATTGTTATTATTGATTGGTGCGGTTGGTTCATTGTTTTTTAATATGCGCCTGTTCAAGTATTGTTTTTTTTGCATGTTAAAGTAAGGCATGATGAAGATCAAAGTGAGCGCAGGATTGTTCATTTATTTATATTCTAAACATTGTCCATATAATAATAATAATAATGCTTAAAATGAAACTGCTCATCTCTTCTTATTTTCTTTTTGTAATTCTATGAATTCTTTTACCTAGAACGTAATTTAAATCCTAAACAAGCTTGTTTGAAACGTCGTGAAGAGGAGAAAAGTGGTGAAGCATCACATTTCAGTAGTGGTAGTACTGGAGGTGGCGCTGGTAGTAGTAGCACTAGTGGTGGTGGTGGTGGTAGTACTAGTGGCAATAGTAACAATAATAATAATAATACACATATCAATTCAATTGGAAGCGCCATAAATCGTTTGTGTAGCACTAATCCAGTGAATTATTCTACTCCTGGTGTTACATCATCGTCATCAGCATCATCACAAAATGTATCAAGTCATTTGTTGGATTATGATCCACGTCTATCTCATATTACACATGGACCTGGTATGTATATCACATATATATATGTATAGTATTTTTTTATTCATATATATATATATATATATATATATGTATATATATATATATTAGTTCAAAGGTAATTCATTTGTGTTTTATGTAAGAGAGAATAATTATTTTTTTAGTGTTTGGATTGAAATTTCAAACACCTGGTGTCTCAGCACGGTTGCAGAAGGTTCGACTGGCTTTTGCCAACTTGTGTCACTTATAGCATAGGCTAATCAAAAGACGGGTTTACTGTCCTACTATTTGGGTATGAAACATGGCCACCAAGGATAGAGGATATTCGTAGGCTACTAGTTTTCGATCATAGATTGCTCGTATCTCCTGGGACAATCGAGTAAGCAATACTGTTGTTAGGACAAGGGTATTGACATCATTAGATGAAGTAGTGAGTGTTCATCAGTTGAGGTGGTTGGGACATGTGTCATACATGACCAAAGACCGATTACCTTGACGGGTAATGTGTTGGTGTGGCTGTGGACTGGAAGAACGATAGAAGTGATCAAACCAAAACATGGCACATATCCATGAAGTCCCTGACAACTGGATTGGTAGGTGTAGTGTACTACCAGTTTGGGGTCTGCGAGACATTCGTGACTGGTGATTAGAGACTTTGAATGGCATGGCTCAAAATCGTTTTCAATGGGGCATGTGCATCCATTCTTTGTGTTCTTTTAAATTCTATTTTTCTTAATTCCCCATGACCTTTGTTGTTTCTCTGTCCCCTTTTTTTAAGTCGATTCCTCTTGGATATACTTCTTGAATCATATATTCGATCCCTAATCTTTTTGATTACTGATAATACTTTTACTACCTTTACTACTTACTATGCGATTTAAATCGACAATTCGATCTCTATGTGCTAATGAGGTACGGTGACTTGGACTGACGTACGTGCGTACGTACGAAGTTCTACGTTTTACTCAACTTGACTTTCACAAATTTCAGAATTTCAGGTTACTGCATGGTTCAATTCATCCAATGATACTGTAAGGAAAGGTTTCTCATTGATCGATGTTCAGCAGAGAAATCTCATTTGCAATCGAAAAGTCACTTGTACTTCTTTCTTTTTAGAATTATACATATTCACTGCTTAATGCCTGAGTTTTAACTCCTTTTTTTGTCATAGATTTTCTCCAGCTATTCAAAAGTGCTTTTTCATGTCTTTTTTTGTTTGTTTTATTTGTTTATTTTAGCTGTTTATAGTGATAATTTGTCAATAGTGAATAGTCGAAATGATTATACATCATCAACTACTGGATCTGTTACTACTGGTGGAGGAGGGGATGTGCGTACTTCTGGTTATCTACATCCGGAAGTTCAACAATGTCCATCCGATGCATATACGCATATGACATCACAACAACAACAACAACAACCACCTGCACCACCACCACCGCATCATTTGTCAATAGTTAATAATCCTAATAATCATAGTTTTTCAAAAACTAATACAACTAATAAATCATCAGATAATTGGCATTCTAATTCTTCTTTGTTGCAATCAATTCAATCTACACATTCACAAAGATTTGGAACTATCAGTGGTGCCGAACAATATGACGGCGACGGTGACGATGATGATGAAGGTGATGACGATGACGACGACGGTGATGATGATGATGATGAAGATGATGTTGAAAGCAGTGAAGAAGAAACGAAACCTTCGTCATCGGTAGTACGTTCTATGTTGAAATCGGATGTGAACAATCGTTCGTCCACATCTATTCGCTCTGATAATAATAATAATAATAACAGTAATAACAAAAGCAGCAGCAGCAGCAGAAGATGAATTTTCCCCTTATATATATACATATATATTCTATTTCTGTTTCAGATGTTTCAAATTTTCCACTCAATCGTTACTGTTATTATTATTATTATTCGTTATACATTAATTACTTACTACAACTACAACTACGACTACTACTATTAATCAATCCAGTTATATATTTGTGCATTTATATATACATATACATACATGTATGTATTGTTCGAATTGCATTTTCATGCGTACTGAGTTTGTTTGTTTGTCTGCCTTCTCTCTGTCTCTCTTCAAAAACAATGCATTTATGCTAGTTTATTATTTTACCACAGTTCTTCTTCTTATTCTTATTAATATATAAATTATCTAATCACATAATAAGTACAAAACGTTATTGCGAAACAAAATAAAAAAAGAATAACATCATTATAGATCATCCAAGTATGCTTATTTTTATGCTTCGTATTGATTAATTTTTTTTATAAAACCACATATATATATATATATATATATATATATATATTCTACATAACACATGATGACAAACTGACGATGACGACGACGACTCAGTAATCTGTAATAATAACATTGATGTCTATTACCTTCTTTCTTTATTTCTCTCTCTTGTCCCATGTCACCGCCTATCTATCTATCAATCTATCTGTTGATCTATCTATATTATTTGTCAAGATACTTGTTCTTTCACAATAACCAGTCTACTAACTAATCTTTCGTGAACACTCTTTTTTTGTCTTTTGCGCATTTATTCTTTTTTTTGTATTCTGTCCCGGTTACATTTAATTCTTGTTTTTGTTGTTGTTGTTGTTGTTGTTGATTAGGTTACTTACTTCCGGGATTTGTACACAGTTTCAAAATCTATCAGTGTATATCTTCTATGTTTGTCAGTCCGCGTTATATAATGATTATGATTATTATTAATATTATTATTATTATTATAGTTGTGTTTATTCACCAGTTTTTATGTATTGTATTGTTTCAAAATCTAATTGTTCTAGAGTGTGTGTACTCTTGAAATTTCACAAAAATAACAAGAGAATAATAATGTTTTGAGAATTTGGTTTTCTTTTTCCATAGCTAGTAAATTTTGGAATTATAGGGAGCAGTTCATTTTCGGCCTTATGTTATTGAGATGTCGGTAATCGGTTGTCTTCTTTATGAGGTGGTTTGGACATGTTTTACGTATGCCTAATCACCGACTGCCGTGACGAGCTATATTTTACGGTGTAGGAATGGCACAAATCCATGAAGTCACTGACAAGTGGACTCAATAATGTTGGTAGGTGTCGACTACCTGGTTGGGGTCAGCAGGATGATAGTAATCGATGGTTAGAGACCTTGAACGACATGGCTCAAAACCGTTTACAATGGGTTCCGGTGCATTTATTCTTTCTGTTCTCTCAAATCCTTATCTTCTGGATTCGTCAAAACTTCTACCTTTGTCTTTCGAAACTTATCTCACTGAATTATAATTCTTGAATCATATCTTCAAATCCTAATCTTCTACATTACTGCTAATACTTCTACCTTCCCTACCACTTTGGAATTTGAACTGACAGTTGCGCCTCTACGCTAATGCGGTATAGCAACCTGAGCTAATGTACGAAGTTCTACGTCGCTGTTGATTGATTGATGAATGAATATCGAGAGAACTTTGTGTTTTGAAATTCAACATAGAATATGTGCGAATCACCCATCCACCTGTAAACACATGATCGTTCTGTTTATGTAATTAATGTGACGATCTACCTGCGTACGATGATAAATTGGTAGGAGAGTTTGGCACATGTTTGTCGTGAGATTAACTATGGCTTTCACGTTCGAAATGAAATGTCTAGAGAGAAGGCTTTTAAAGACAGTTATTTCTATTTGTCCAGTGTTTGACCACTCTCATTGAATATGTACTTTCAATAAAAGCTGACTCTCACTGTTGATGAGACCAGAAATCTGTTTTTTGAAAAATTTGTTTAGCTTTTGAATCTTACCGTATTTTCTAAGTGGACTAACTTCTGATGCAATATGTTTGTAAGCTTATTTCTAAAAACCGACACAGAAGTTGTACATGCCTTCTAATGATGACTTGCAGCTTGATTGTGATGCCAAGGAATACAACTAATAAACTCCATTTAAAAGGAGTCTTTGTGGCTTGTTGATTTATCTTTTCAGCTTATTGTAAAAATCCCATGCTAGGTCGAAACGGCTGTCCAATGGTTCTAGGTTTCTAAAGTTGTTTTAACAGTGATTAATTCATGATTGCAATAAATTGGAACAGTTTAACATCTTATACCTAACTTGCGTACATCACTAAAATTAATATTCAACCTTTAGGTATCAATGTGGAAAATTGATTGATTGAGTTCGTAGCTCATCTCATGAACCTGCTATGTTAGAAATGTGTTATTAGTAGTGAGAGCAAACCCTTCCGCGTTGAATTTCTCTCTTCAGAGTTGGTTTATACAACTACTTCACGATTGCATGTGACACTTTGATATTAGATAAGAGCACCACATACAGTTTAATTCACTAACTAAAACGTCATTGGGATAATAAGTTATAATATGATACGATTGATGTTAAATACATGATATTGATTCTTGAACCGCTTGAACCTCGAAGCTAAACATGCAAAACTAAACGGATTTACATTGGCTATTGAACGATTGGAGTAATCGGGAAGTGTCAATGGAGACGGAGTGGCTTGAGCTTACAGGCGTGGTTATACTGTGCGACCTCTTGCTTTTTACTATACTCAAATTATTTTTTCCTAAGTTCAAATCAATTTTTCAGAAGCCCGAAGATAGGATGAGTCACTACAGAAAATTATGTGACATCCACGGAAAAACTCAAAGATTCTAGTCATATCGTAGCAAATATACAATAGTGGAATAAGACTACTGTTCGATTAGCATTAACAGCTGTGTTTAGACTGAAAGTGACCCCAGTCATAATTCCAGCTCGAACAGTTTAAAAGTTAGCGTCAGTTCCAACCTGCCGAATGGTGTAAAGTTGAGCATGCTGCAAATAACCAAATCCCATAGAAGATAACATTTCAAAACAGGCGCTTACCAGACTACATAAACCAGACCATTAAAACTGTGTTCTAGGGGTCAGGGGGTTCTCATTTAGAAGAGTTATGATATGTAATGATAAAAGACGAGTTTCTTCGGAAGTTACAACTTCCATGCCCATTCTGAAATCCAGAGCAGACATAAAGGAAGGACTACCTCGACGCCGCCATGTCGAGCGACCTTGAAGGTCTTTTTGTGACGAGAAATCACCACGTGAAACGATCGATGCACGTCAGTATGTGATCGTACCCATGCGATGGTGGCAATGGTCCTACAATGTCAGTATGAACATGATCGAAGCGAGCTTCAGGCGTAGCAAATGTGCCGATAGGGGCGGCTACGTGCCTGTGCACTTTTGGTCGTTGACATTGTAAGCATTGCTTTACCCACATACGGACATCTTTATTCATGGAAGGCCAGACGTATCGCGCAGCGATGAGACGTAATGTGGCTGTGATACCTGGATGAGTCAAACCATTCAGGGCATCGAAGACGAGACGACGATGAGCAGAAGGTACGGT